CTCGGTGATTTCCCGTGGCTTGCTTGTTCTCCCCATGTTTTAGTGGCTGTCCCATCGTCCATGCTATCGTGCTATCGCTTTGGTGTCGCGGCTGGTCTGTCGTCCCATGCTTTCGTTTATCTACAGTAGTATCGCGCTCCCCAGTGAGCTCCGGTTCTACCCTGGTATCGTGTTTCAATACTCGACAACCTCCCGTTAATGGTCCTTCCGCGGCTTCATGTTTTGGTCGATCGACTGTGCTCCCGTGTTCAACCGTGGTGCTATGGGAGAATTTCTGGCCGTGCACTCTTACCGTTTACGTGTTCTACCGTGGCTTCAAGCGTGCGTGCTCTTTCGTAGCCCGTGCTTTTCAGCATGCTGGGGTGTCTATGTATACAGTTCCCTTCTGTGGCCCGTACGCTCCCGTCATATTCTTGTCCTTCTGTTCTTTTCATGGCTGCATTTTTAACAAAATAAGGTATCACGATGGACTCCACCACTTACTTGGAGCTCAGTTTTGATAATGGCAGATAATGTTTAAGTACCGAAAAATCATTTGTGATCAGATTGAAGATTATGAAAAGCCATGTTATTACAATTGGTAACAATAAACTTTTTGTCTGTTTCTAACAATCAGTGTATCCGTAAATATTGGGATTGATTTGTGAAAGCTGACAATAACACGAAGTTCAACGCGGGAATTTGTCAGACTACTATCAATTTCACTTCTGATTGGCCATTGTCTTTAAATGACCAAGATGAAGATGCCAATGCTGCCCACGTGGCTGCTACTAGCGCTGCCCGGGATTTTGGCGCAAGGCGACTTCGCGGCTCTGGATCCAGAGGCCGCCGCAGTTGCGGAAGACCCACACTTTGATCCGTATGACGACAAGCCGCGTGGAGTTGGAGCAGACGCGGAGTACGCTCCAAAAGCTCGCGCCGTGGAAAGCTTCGACTTCGATCCGTCCGAGGGCTTGACGTTCTACGTAGCTGGAGAGAGCAGCGATTGCTTCTACCAGGACGCCAAATTCGACGGAGATGAACTGGGCGGTGCCTATGTCGTGAGCTCTGCAGATTCGCACATTGATTTGGAGGTGAAGAACCCTGAGGGCGTCACTATCTACCGACGACTAGGAGACGCAGAGGGACAGTATCTCGTCATACCCAAGTGAGTTCTGGCTGCTAAATGGGCGGGAGAGAGTAGCTGACAGCTTGGCGATGGGGTTGTGTGCAGGCAATCGGGTGTACATGAGTTCTGCTTCATCAATCCGGACTCGGACGGGAAGCTAGTGACGCACGTGACTAACACGTTGCAGTCGCAGCATCCGGTTGAGAAAGGTTGGTCCACTTGTGTGCTATAAGTCTTCTAGACTCCGGTTAACTATTATGACTGATGTTCAGAGCACGTGAGTGTGTTGGCGAAGTACGCGTCGCACTTGGATGTGCGTCTCGGCGAGCTCGAATCAGAGCAGAGATTGCAACTCATTCGGACGGACAGGCATATCAAGGGTGAGCTTCGACGTTTAGAGCTGTTGTATGATACGAAGTGCTGACATCTAGTTTACTTGCAGTGGAGGAAGAGATGAACAAGCACGTCATGTTCTACGGTGCATTGGAGTGCGCAGTCTACCTCGTAGTGTGCTTCTTCCAAGTGTACTACATTAAGGGATTGCTCGACAGCCCACGCAAGGCTCGGTCCTGGGTTTGAGAGTAAGTTCATAATAAATGCCACTTGGCAATATCCGGAAAGTTCATTGCAAAGGTAAGGTCAAATTTAATAGATCATGTCAAGCTATGGCGTCTGTAGAGAGGCATCCAGTGCCTTGATATACTCCAGGTCGGGTCGGTTGTCGTTTGGTCGGTATTGTGTCCACAGGTCGAGGAAATCAGGTCCAAGTCCTTTGATCTTGTCTCCACTCTCATCTTCATACATCCACAAGTAGCATCTCGCTACCTCTTCCAGCTCCCTCTCCGGCAGCTGCAGCACCGTCCACCACGGCTCGTTCTTCTCTGTTGCTACATTCGGACTCACTTGATGATGATACAAACACGCCAGGTACACTGCACCAGCAGCAAGCGCAATGCAGTCAAACGCCAGTATCAAGCCACTTTTCACAGCATCGGCGACCAGCATGAATGTGACTTGACGAATATTCTCGTACGAAATATCCGGATGCATCGCCTCCAAGTCGAAAATCTTCTCCATGTGCGGAGCCACATAGGCAAATGGCTGCGGCGCTCCGATCTCGAAAGACAGGGTGAGTAGCAAGATCCTTTCGAGGAGCAAGACCTTACTGGAGTTGGCTTCGACCTCTCCGACCTCCACGACCTCTAATAACGCATTCAGCCACTCGATGTGCTTGGTATTTGCTGCTTCCTTGTCATTTCCGAGCGTGGAGCTCATCTCCACAAGTTTTCCTTTGGCATCGAGCTTCTGATTCTTTTTGGCCGCAGCAGGAGACGGCGAGTGACGCTGTGCAACAGCTGCATTGGCTTTCGGCGTATGAGACTTATGTTTCGTCGTTAATTTCTCTTGAGCTTGTTCTCGACATAGCAGTAGGTACATGGAGCACTCGGTGACGTAGCGGACCTTGACTGGGAATTCCTCCGTCTTGCCAGCTAAAAACAGCGCAGCTGTAGCTACCAAGAAGCGGTCGTGGGTCGCAAACGAATGCATCATGTAGAATCTTTGGACAAACAATTGAGCGGCTATGCTGGGAGCTTCAGGCATCTCCAGGAGCTGCGCTAGGTGCTCGATGAAGGTACAGGTGGTACGTCGCAGCTGTTGTTCCACTCGCCACGGCACCTTGGACTCGGTGAAGCTCGGCGTGTGGAACACCGAAGGGCTCTCTGTATCCGTGTTCTCCTTCTCTGCATCATCAGACGTCGCGCTTGGTGTCCGTGAAGACCGCAGGATCACGGCACGAAGCTGCGAGAAAACCCACTTATCTACAGGTTCAGGTGCCATCGATAGAGTAATGAGCTCTTGTAAAGATGGCACAAATAGCCCACGGTACCAGTATTGAGGCACACTGTACCACTCTTCTTGTGACTGGCGACGCCGTACAGACCGCATATCTAAGAGTATGATGCTGAAGCTAGTGTTGCGCGCACAGCGCGGCATGCGCGCATTCGCAGGGATCGGCGCCACCCGCAAGCTCATGCTTGCAGCTGAAGCAAGTGCACCCTCTTCTGTCGCTGAAGCGTCGTCTATCTTTGCTAAAGTGGGTCGTGACATTCCTCTCAAAGTTGTGCCCCGAGCGGAGCGACGAGCGGCTCGCAAGGCCGCCAAGCACTCCGCCGACGCTGCCACCGGCCACAAGGTCGTGCGTACGTCGTCGCTTCCTGCCCGTATCTCATTTGCGCTTCTCGCTGGCAGTATCTCGGGCTCCATCGTATGGAACTTCGTGCTGGACGACGGCATCAAGAGCCGCGTCAAGGAGACGCTCGGCGCGACATTCCTGGGCGATATCTACGCGATCATTGCTAAAAAGGTGGAAGAGACCGTCAAGCCATTCACAGATCCGTCCAGACAGAAGCTGCTGCCCGATTGGCCCATCCCACAAGTGCCTGCGGACACGCCGCCCGTCCCCGTGTTGGTGCTCGACCTCGAAGATACACTCGTGCACTCCGAGTGGAGCGTACGTTGCTGCAATTGCCGCAATTGTTATACATTACGCTGATATATTACATATTTGCGGTTTTTCGTGCTGCAGAGGAAGCACGGCTGGCGTCACGCCAAGCGTCCCGGCGTGGACGAGTTCCTGGAGACCCTGTGCCAATACTACGAGATAGTGATCTTCTCGCAGAACTACGGCGCCGAGGAGATCGTGCAGAAACTGGATCCGAAGCAGTGCGCGCTGCACATTCTGTCCCGTGATGCCACGCGGTACCTGAACGGCGCCCACGTCAAGGACCTGTCGAACCTGAACCGCGACTTGAGACAGGTGGTGATTCTGGACGACGACCCGGCCGCGTACCAGCTTCAGCCCGAAAATGCCATTCCAGTTACGCCCTTTACGAATGGACGGGATCGCGACGACCACGAGCTTAAGGATCTGATTCCGTTCCTAAAGGCGTTGGCTTCGGAACGGGTTCCGGACTTCCGTCAGGTGATTGGTGAATTCCGTGACGAGGACGGAGTCGTCCGTGACCTCGCCACCAAATACGGCGCCCGTGTGCACCAGCTTGAGATGCAGAAGGAGCAGAAGAAGAAAAAGGGCTTCGGTGGCTTCGTTCGAGGTCGGCTGTCACACCACCCTGCCTCACCGACTGGAGGTGTAGCTGCTAGCGGCTTCTCTAGTGGGCCGCACGTTTAAAGCGATGGACGTTGTTAGATTCATCAGCGTACGTGTAGCTCCCGATGCATAAAGGAGAAATGCATGTAGTTTGATGGGATTTGTGCTTTTTGGTCTTGAGCTTAGCTGTATAACAAGTGTGGCCTGCAGCAGTTAGTAGTAAAATGCTCCACGTGCGGATGGTGTTGGCAACAGATCTTTCCTTGTTGTCTTCCTCCAATTTGGCCAGAAGCAGACAATCCAAGCTCATTCACCTTGTGATACAATGCCCTTTTGGTGAACCATTTTGCTTTGTGGAATCAAACTCCATCCTCTTGTTATTATTTTCTCG